CTCCATCATTACATATCTTTGTCACGTCATTATAAGTGTTTGATCACCACATTTGAGTGATCTTTGCAAAAAATGTGTTTATGTATATATATTTTGTTTATGTGTATACTGTATTCTATATATAGTACCAGTCAAATGTTTGGACACACGAATGGGAAATTGTCCAAACTTTTGACTGGTACTGTACTATAATATACACAAAGTATATCGGCCGAGATATCGATATCGGCCTTTTTTACTCCCTAATATCGGTATCGGCCCCAAAAAAAAACATATCGGTCGGGCTCTAATATCTATATATATGTTTTTTTTTTTTAGAATATATAATTTAATAATTTAGCATTTATTATAAATTATATATATATAATTTATTATTTGACTAGTTATTTGTCAAACTTGAGAAAATTGTAGCGCTCCAAACAGGAAAAAATAAGTCCTTTTACTGCAGGTGCGTAGAGCCAATGGGATACTTGAAAATGAACAAGAGAGTGGCTAACCGTACACTGATCCACTCGAGACTGAAAAAGTCTACAAAAACATATTTTTTATTTTATAAATTGCATCGTGCAAAAAGTGCATGCGAGTTAAAAACATGTTCAGTGCATTGAATTGTGGGAGACAGTATTCCACACAGTGCGTTGTATACTGCACATTTTGCATACATTACATTTGCATTGTACCCACAATATACATACTGCTGAAATGGAGTAATATGTGGTATTTTGTACCAAACAACATCTTTTTTGTTTCCAGATTCACCGTTTCTAAGTTTTTGCATTCTTCTCCATAGATACTGCTTTGTGGTTACGCTGGGATATCTCTGTTTCTGCCAGGTCACAAGAGCCTATGTGTTTGACTACGGCATGTACTCAGCAGATTTCACTGGGTAAGTTATTTTGCACTGGAATCAGTGTCAGTATCATGAAAACTAAAGCTAAATTAAAATGATTTTGCCAACTGGAATAAAAATAAAAACTGGCTGTGAAAAACAGGCTAAACTAAATACATTTTCATGACTCCAAAACTAACACAAGTGAAATAAAAAATATAAACTAATTTTTATATTTGATAGATGGTATGTATATTATAAATGCCATCTGCATTAAACATGATACTGTCTCTATATAGCAATAACATTAGGCTGAAAAATTTAATTATTTAATTATGCTAGTTTAGTTTACACTAATGTGCAAAAGTTAGGGTTTAGTAATTATTTATTTTTTATTTGAAAGAAATTTTTTAGCAAGGATGCATTAAATTGATCAAAAGTGACAGTAAAGACTTTTATATTTTTATTTCAATGAAATTGTGTTCTTTTGAACTTTCTATTTATCAAAGAATCCTGAAAAATATATGTATCATGCTTTCCACAAAATTATTAAACACAAAACGTATTTTATATTGTAAGACTATTACACAGTTACTGCATCCTTGGTGAGCATTAGAGACTTCTTTCAAAAACATAAAAAAAAAAAACCTTATTGACCCAACATTTTGAACAGTAGTGTAATACATTTGAAGGCTTTTAAATACTAAAACTATAATTACTAAATACTAAATAAATACCAAAACTATAAATAAAAACTAAATTGAATAAATTTAAACTAGTAAATGCTGGAAATACTAAAACTAAGCTACAGCTAACAATGATATAGTGAACAAAAACTGCATTAAATTCCATGGATAATTAAAAAATAGAAATGAAAACTAACTTATAAATTAGCTTTTTTTAAATTACAATTTTATTAAAAATTATATTAAAATCCCTGTAAAGTCAATTCTGAGAATTGTTTCTAAACGCATTGTAAATGTTACAAATGTATTGCTGAAACACATTACAAAGACTGTGAATTCTGTAGTACTGAATAGTGGAGTTAGACCGTTAAACAGTTTTTCACCAATTCTGTTTTCAGGATTTTTTGGGCGGGGCTAAAACGGTGGCTCAATGATGCACTGGAGCCACCGATCATGGCCCCTCCCCTAACATTATAATAACTGTCGATGATGCACTGGAGCCCCTGATCATGGCCCCTCCCCTAACACTATAATAACTGTCGATGACGCACTGGAGCCACCGATCATGGCCCCTCCCCTAACACTGTAATAACTGTCGATGACTCACTGGAGCCACCGATCATGGCCCCTCCCCTAACACTGTAATAACTGTCGATGACTCACTGGAGCCACCGATCATGGCCCCTCCCCTAACACTATAATAACTGTCGATGACGCACTGGAGCCACAGATCATGGCCCCTCCCCTAACACTATAATAACTGTTGATGACGCACTAGAGCCACCAATCATGGCCCCTCCCCTAACGCTATAATAACTGTCGATGACGCACCGGAGCCACTGAGCATGATCCCTCCCCTAACACTATAATAACTGTCGATGACGCACTAGAGCCACCAATCATGGCCCCTCCCCTAACACTATAATAACTGTCGATGACGCACCGGAGCCACTGAGCATGATCCCTCCCCTAACACTATAATAACTGTCGATGACGCACCGGAGCCACTGAGCATGATCCCTCCCCTAACACTATAATAACTGTCGATGACGCACCGGAGCCACTGAGCATGATCCCTCCCCTAACACTATAATAACTGTCGATGACGCACCGGAGCCACTGAGCATGATCCCTCCCCTAACACTATAATAACTGTCGATGATAGACCGGAGCCACCGATCATGGCCCCTCCCCTAACATTATAATAACTGTCGATGATGCACTGGAGCCCCTGATCATGGCCCCTCCCCTAACACTATAATAACTGTCGATGACGCACTGGAGCCACCGATCATGGCCCCTCCCCTAACATTATAATAACTGTCGATGACGCACTGGAGCCACCGATCATGGCCCCTCCCCTAACACTGTAATAACTGTCGATGACTCACTGGAGCCACCGATCATGGCCCCTCCCCTAACACTATAATAACTGTCGATGACGCACTGGAGCCACAGATCATGGCCCCTCCCCTAACACTATAATAACTGTTGATGACGCACTAGAGCCACCAATCATGGCCCCTCCCCTAACACTATAATAACTGTCGATGATGCACTGGAGCCACCGATCATGGCCCCTCTAACACTATAACTAGAGCACATTCGCATCAGTTCACCCGCTCAATCGCGAGTTAGTTACTACAGCCTACAGTTTGCAAGCTAGCTATGCCTTCGTCACGGAAATGCATATTACTTGGTTGCGATAACTTATGAAACAGCTCTGTGTCAGTGCCGATCCTAGACTTCTGGGGGACCTACACAAAACGTCTCAGGTTACTTATGTCACCATGGTTCCTTGAGTAGGGAACGAGACACTGCGTCCTCTAGGGGTCGCTATGGGGAACGCCTCGTCGTGACCCGTGTCTGAAGCATACATTGAAAAAACACCAACTCGTTTTGCCGGCGACAGCCATGACGTCACTACCGGTGCGACTATAGTATAAATAGGCGCCGGGAGCACACATTCACTTCTTCGTCTGAAGCTTGCATCCGCAGCATGGCAAGAAACCTAGAGGACGCAGTGTCTCGTTCTCTACTCAGGGAACCATGGTTACATAAGTAACCTGAGACATTCCCTTTCATGGGAACTTCGAACTGCATCCTCTGGGGGACGCTATGGGGAATGGTATACCCACGCCACCATGCTGAAGGGAGTGCATGCCAGAACCATGGCGAGCACTAAGTACCAACTCTACCATATTGCTATGGGAGT